TATACCCCATTCACAGAAGACACCGAGACTGTAGGCCAGAGAGCCCTACACTCAATTCTGAATGCTGCCATCATGATCAGTGTCATTGTTGTCATGACTATCCTCCTGGTGGTTCTGTATAAATATAGGTGCTATAAGGTGAGCAAGTGACACAGAGCTTTGCCTTCCAACTTGTTAAGTATGACTAGGTTTTCCTGTCACACACCTCACTTGAGCTAGTATAGAAAAAGGTCTTAAATTCTAGAGCTAAGTTAACTTTTAGTTTTCTTACACTTTATTGAGGAACATTATAAAAATATGAAAAGGAAGCTGAGTGCAGTAGCATGTTCCTGTAATCTTAGCTATTCAGAAGACTAAGGTAAGAGGATTGCTTGAGCCTAGGAGTTCAAGACTAGCCCGGGCAACATATTGAGACCCTGTCTCAAATAAAATAAAAATATAAAAAAGAATAAAATGCAAATACAAATAGACATAAATGGAAAACAAATATTTTCATGTAGTATCACGATCTAAGTGATTTTAATATTTTAATTTATAGTGTACTTAACGACATTCCAAAGGGATATATCGTAAGAGCTGTGTGAATCCTCATTCACAGATAACACTATAGTATATAATGGTCCCTAAAAATACGGTATAACTAAAAAAATCAGATTTGAGTACAGAACAACAAAGCCACCTTCAGATGCTGCTATTAAACTCATTGATGACTGGCCATACCTTGCCAGTAAACTGGTATTCCCTCACTATTTCTCCTGCAGTAAGACCAGTTTCCTTGGGAAAGAGGCAGGGAAGAGTATACAGAAAAGAGACAGGCCCAACACTCCCAGCTTTTCCTCTCCTAGCTAAGTGGCTTATTGCTGAATTTCAGCCACTTGGCATGTTTCAAATTAATGCCTTAGAAAAATTATACATTATTATAAGTTGTAGATCTTTAAGGTCATTATCAAATAATGGAAATTATAAAAGCTAACTTTCCAAATATTGGAGTCTGCTCTATTTTCTTCTAGTATTTATTTCTGTATCCTTTTGTAACATGGTTAAAATGTATAATTAACATATGCCCTTTCTTAACTTTTAGTTTGGTGTAGCACTTTTCTGTATTATAAATTCTTAGAAGATAAAGGCCAAATGCTGTG